ATTTGAAAGGAATTGGATCAGGGAGAGGACAGAGCAAGGACATCCAGGAAAGAAAGGAAAAGAGGAGGCAAGGCACTTTGTCTGGCCTAGACCTCTTAAGTCCTCTTTCTATTTTCAAGCCTTTGGACAAACTCCTTTCTTGCCTTCTCCTCTCTTCTTTTTCTCTGCTTTTGTTCCCACAGGTGGTGGTAGTTTGGGCTGGTAAATTTGTAAAAGCCCTGAGGCTGAATACTGGTTTGAGAAATCCAGAGGTGGTGTGGGATAAAGGATTGTGCCAGTGCTTCTTTGCTGCCTGAAATAAAAGCTCTCAGAAATGTTTCTGGTCTGAATTCAGTTTAGCCCTTAGCATTGGTTTGGAACTAAGGGAATGTTCACCTGCAAAGTGAAAACTTGAAAGGCTCAACTTTGAAAAAACTGGTTGGTTTTGAAATAATCTTGATGCAGTTTGAACTGCATCACTGTTGTGTTGGTTTACGGGAGTCCCATCTGGAGCCTTTCCAGTCTGGGCTATCAGTCCAGCTTGGTCAGATGAAGAGCTCTGTACTGGAACACAGAACTCCATCTCCATCTAATCCACTGGCATTGTTTTTCTCCAGCCTGAATCTCCGTTTTCTGTGAGTGAACATCACAAATTCTGGCCACGATGCTGCCTGACCTGGACCTGCAGCAAGGGAATGATGGGTGGGGGAAATGCCAGGGCAAGTTATAGAACAAATGCATGAAATCAGGAGGATTTCTGAGACAGAACAGGTCTGTGTGTGCAGGTTTAACTGGAGTGTTTCTGTTGAGCTGGACACCAGAAAGCTGTGATTCCTTTTCATCCCCCAGTTTCTCTACCTGCCAGAGGATATGAAGTTGCTCTCCCATGGGATCTGAGTGATGAGCTCAGCTTTGTGACACCACACTGGAGCTGCTTTTTCCTTTTTTCCCCTAGCACTGAATCCTATTTACGAGGTGGTTGGGAGGGGCTGTTTGTGCTGTTAACGAAGGAAAATGCAGAGAGAGGAGGAGGATCCACGTTGCCAAGGGTGTGGGGAGGACTCGAAGGGTGGGAGGCACTGAGGGATCCTGCTGGGCATCCTCCTGGGAGGTGGGAGGATCCAGGGACACAGGATGCAGGTGTGGCTGCTTCCTTCACTCACTCACCCTCATCCTTGGCTTTAGGAGATCAGGAATCACTTGCATCTGAAGCAGGAACTGAAGGAAAAACTCTAATCCTTCTGGAGGACTCCTCAGCCTTTTGTGTGGACAAACAGCAGAGTGTGACGTGGTAAGAGAAAATAATCCAGGGATTTGTCCCTCTCCACAGCCTTTCCTCTGGACCAACTGTCTCTCCAGCTTTCTTTTCTTCCAGCACATTCTGCCCCTCTGTCCAGCTTTTCCTCTGGACCAACTGTCTTTCCAGCTTTCTTTTCTTCCAGCTTTTGCTTTGCTTTGCAAGAGCATCCTCAGCGTCCTCGCTCCGGTGTGGGATGGAAATGTGAGTTTTTCCAAAGGGCTGGAGGCACTGGCCAGTTTCACTCTCTACCCAGTTAGCAACTTGAATTCGTTCTGCTTTAGAAAACTTCAGGGACTTGTGAAATTAAGGGGGGGAAGTTGCTTTTTAGAACACTTTGCTTCGAACGAAAAGCAGTTGTAGCACACTGGAGCTTTGCAGAGAAATGTCAGTGCCTTCGTTAGAGACAGAGCAGTTGTAACCCTTTACTTCTAAATTCGCAGCAACTTCCAGCAATTAGTTGTCAAACAGTGACAAAAGGAAGGACAAAGCCTGAAATAGTGGCTAGTTACACGAGACAAAGTGTATATATTAGATATATTAGAAAACTAGGATTATAAATTAAAGTAATATTACAATATTAGAAAACCAAATTAAAATAATAATAAAATAGTAGAAAATTATTAGAAATTAAATAACCCCAGAAGTCTTCAGTCCCCAGGGCCAGGCTGTGACAGTTCCAGCCGTTGTTCTTGGGCAATTCAAGAATGATGAAGGATGTAGAGTGAAATTTGATTTTGTGTCAGGTTAAGATGTTGTGATACTGTCTCAGGAGCCCCAAAGATGACTACTGATTTCTCACAGTTCTCTGAACATCTTTGCTGGAATATTATCCCTCAGTGTCCCTATTTAGCTCCTGTGTGCCTTTGGGAGCTGTGCAATGAATTTACCCCGTGGCTCTGATTTCTCAGGAGAACAGAGCTGGCATTGCCTGCAAAGCTGGGCTTTATGGGACCTCTAATTTATGATCCCTGTCCTGGGCAAGGACTGGTGTGTCCAGCAGCATCTCCCTCAAAGGTCACGTTCTGGGGGGGGCTTCTCCCTGACATTTGCCCACAATCAGCACAGACAGAAAATGGAGTTTGCAGATGTGACCTGTGATAACATTGCTGAAATAAATCCCAACTAATTTGCCAAGAAACATTCTGAGGAGCTGCTTTAAATGTCAGTGTGGCAGTGAGATGAACAGTGGTGCTTTTATGGAGCTGCTGCTCTGCTGGAGTTTCTTCTCAGCAACTGTCAGAGTGTAAAATCTGCCCTGAAATCCCTTTGCCATTTATTCCCAGGATATTTGCACTCTTCAGATCTCCAGGGTTGACCCCGGTGGTCAGACTGAAATAGATTTATTAAATATGAAGTGGAGTTATAAATGGTACATTTCTTTATTGTGTATTTCTTTAGTGTATATTTATCACATATTTATTATATATTTATTGATCCTGTATTTATGTATTCTATATTTATTTATTATAAATTTGTATAAAAATATATAATAATATATTTATGAGAGCGTTTGCACTCTTAAAAGCTCCTAGACTGATCCTAGTGTTCAGATCGAAATAGACTTATTAATATCATAATATTAATATGATAAAATGATAAAATTCTAGATTCCTTTATTGTATATTTACTTATATTTATTAATTCTCTCTATATTTATTATTTATTTGTATAGAAATTTATAATAAATATATTTGTTAGAGCATTTGTAGGACACTTTTAGTCCTGTCCTGTGTAGTTGTGCAGAGGACTTGATGAGACCTACTCATGGCAAGATAACTTCCAGCCTGGGGACACTTAAGAGATGAAATCTTGACTATGTTGGAACAAGAGGGAAAAAATTCCCGGTGGTTTTGTTGTCAGTTTTTAAACCAGATGTGCCCGATGTGTCCAGCCAGTGGCATTGCTGGTCGGTCCCTTTTGGGATCGGTGGCCAACAGGTGCCTCTCTGACACAAACTGGGCTGATGTCGCTGAAAAATCAGAACTGGGGGATACAACCCATAGATTTGGGGGGTTTTTTACCCGAGTGTGTGCAATAAATAGTGATGTCGGTGACAGTTCAAGTCCCACAGTGATGTAGGTGATGGTTGTGTCCCTCAGTTGATAGAGGTGATGGTTGTGTCCCACAGTGATGTAGGTGCTGGTTGTGTCCCACAGTGATGTAGGTGCTGGTTGTGTCCCACAGTGATGTAGGTGCTGGTTGTGTCCCACAGCTGATGGAGGTGATGGTTGTGTCCCACAGGTTGATGGAGGTGATGGTTCTGGGGTTCTGGTCCCACAGTTGATGGAGGTGCTGGTTCTGGTCTGACCGTTGATAGAGGTGCTGGTTGTGTCCCACAGTTGATGGGGGTGCTGGTTCTGGTCCCACAGTTGATGGATAGAGGTGCTGGTTGTGTCCCACAGGTTGATGGAGGTGCTGGTTGTGTCCCACAGTTGATGGAGGTGATGGTTGTGTCCCACAGTTGATGTAGGTGATGGTTGTGTCCCACAGGTTGATGGAGGTGCTGGTTGTGTCCCACAGTTGATACAGGTGATGGTTGTGTCCCACAGTTGATGGAGGTGCTGGTTGTGTCCCACAGTTGATGGAGGTGCTGGTTGTGTCCCACAGTGATGTAGGTGATGGTTGTGTCCCACAGTGATGGAGGTGCTGGTTGTGTCCCACAGGTTGATGGCTCAGCGGGTGCTGGTGATCGGCAGTGGGGGCAGAGAACACGCCCTGGCCTGGAAGTTGGCCCAGTCCCCACATGTAAAACATGTGTTTGTGGCTCCAGGAAATGCAGGAACGGCCGACAATGGAAAAATTTCCAATTCAGGTAATAGGGGGGATATGAAATAAAATCTTGTGCCAGTCCCTCAGTGCTGCTGGTGCAGGAACTGAATCAAAGCCACCCACAGCGGTCCTGAGGTGGTGTGAGGTAACAGTTGCTCTTTCCTTTTACTGGTGCCACAGCTTATTTTAGACACATATTTACTTTTTTCAGTGTAATTTTTTCTGAAAAACCCTGGAATAGAGGGCTCAAAGCTCTAAACTCTGAATAGAAATTCCCCGAGTGTTTGCCCAGGCTGCCAACTGAAATTTAGCTCGTGCCCTGGCTTTGGGTAAACCTTTGCTCAGATGTTGACATTGAGTTTCCTTCTGAACTTATAGTTTTATTTTTCAATGCTGTTATTGTTATGATAAGCAGCTTTTAAAAGTTTATCTTGGTTACATGTGACAAATAAATAAAAACAGTAGTGCAAAGTGGCAATGTTCACTGCTCCTTTTGGACTCTAATTATTAAATTGTTGTTTTATTTTGCCCTTCGTGGGCTGTTTCATTATTTGAAATAGGGAGATGGAACAAAGGTATTCTCATCTCCTATCTCTTATTTAGGCTTTACAGTGATCGTTGAATTATATTTTGTTTTCCTTTTCAGCTGTCTTGGTGAGCAATCACACAATTGTTACCCAGTTCTGCAAAGATCACAACATTGGACTTGTGTTAGTTGGAGAGGAAGCTCTGTTGGCAGCTGGTAAGGCTGAAATAAATTGACAGAAAAAAATCAGCACCTTAAATTCTGGTTTAAAGTGGGGGGGTAACTATGACAGTGCTTGGTAATGTACAGAGCTAAAGAGCTCTTAAACTGCCCCATGAAACAGGTCACGGATATTCAGAACCTCATTTTAAGGATTAATTAATTATTTGAGACAAGGAAAAGTGTACCAGGGCTGGAATAATGATGGGAATTTCCTTTTGTCAAATGACTTCATGTTTCCAAGGGGTCCCCTTGGTTCCTGTGCTGTTTTTGATGCTCAGGGATTGTTGATGACTTGAGGGCGGCAGGAGTTCGGTGTTTTGGCCCGTCTGCCAAGGCAGCCCGGCTGGCATCCGACACCAGCCTCACTAAAGCCTTTCTGGATCGACACGGGATCCCGACAGCACGATGGAAAGCCTTCAGCAGCGCCCAGGAAGCCTGTAGGTTTATCATCAGGTGAATATTGGGACACTGGAAGCTCCTCTGCCAAGTTCTGTGTGCATCTGGCCTTCACCCAGGGTAGTGGAAGTCCCTGGAAGTGTCCAAGGCCAGGTTGGATGGGCTTGGAGCAACCTGGGCTAGTGGAAGGTGTCCCTGCCCATGGCAGGGGGTGGCACTGGATGATCTTTAAGGTCTCTCCCAACCCAAACCAGTCTGTGACTTTATGATTCTGTGAACTGAAGTAGGTTGGTTTTGTGTTCACAGATCCCAGCTCTTCTTCCCTTCCATCAGCTCCTTCAGGATGCTTAATAAGCCATTTAAAAGACAAAAAAAATATGTTTTTCTGGTGTGTTGTTGTTCTTCAAGCACTTGGGGGGAAAAAGTAAGACTATGGGAGGCATTGAGGTGAAAAATGAGGATTTCCCTGGATGCAGAAGCAGTGCCTGAACCTCCCTTTACTTTCCTTGAAGCACGGACTTCCCTGCACGAGTGGTGCGGGCGAGGGGCCCTGCGGCCAGGAAGGAGGTGACCATCACAGCCAGCAAGGAGGAGGCCTGCAGAGCTGCCCAGGAGATCATGCAGGTGCATAAATCCCTAATTAACCACTGGGAATCCCAGTCAGGATGTTCTGCAGTCTGTGAGTTTGTCATTCCAGCTACAGGAGGCGAATACTTTGGGGAGAAACTTGCCCATTTGAGAATTTCTCTGGGTGTCCTCCTCAGATTCCTCCTGTGTGCCCCAGACAGCGCTTGGAGATTTTGTGACTGAACTCCTGCTCCAGTCCTGAGTCCCACTGCCCTGCTCCTCCAAATTTTAATTTTTCCTTGGCTCCCCGGGCCTGCTAAAGTGCATTTCAGTGGGGCTTCCTTGTCTCCAAATGAAGTGCCATTGGCTGTGCCAAACACATCAGCATTTAAGAAAGCTGGGACTTTGTTTTTTCTGTTAAAAGAAACTGAGGAGAGAATTTAGCCAGCAGATTCTTGTTTGCTAACTGGGGATTTGTTTGGTTTTGTTTTGTTTTTTATAGGACAGAATGTTTGGAGAGATGGTTGTTATTGAAGAACTTCTTCAAGGGGAAGAACTTTCCGTATGTGATCGACGGGGTGATGTTGTGCTTTTATTCTTTGGCATCATTGCTCTGCTCCTGCATAAACACACGAGTTTATTGTTTCAAGTAGTTGGTCTTTTGTTTTATTTGCACTTTGAGAAATATATGTATACATACACGGCTTAGATTGCATGTTATATATATGCAGTATGATGTCATAATAATCAGTGCATGCTGTCCTAGGTTTTTCTTCTACATTAGCCATAAAATGGCAATTATGGTGATTATTTTTGGTGGGAAATGATCTTTCCTAAGGAGACCTAAAACATATGGACTTTGTCTTGGTAATTGGAACAACGTGGAGCAGCCTGGTCTAGTGGAAGGTGTCCCTGCTCGTGGCAGGGAACAAGATGACCTCTAAGGTGCTCTCAACCCAAACCAGTGTGGGATGCTGTGATTCCCACATTTCCCAGCAGCACTGAGCCCCGGGCTGTGACCAGCAGTGGATGTCCCTCGGGCCAGGCCGTTGTCACCATTCCTGTTGTGTGTTTCTCCTCACAGTGCTCGTGTTTCACGGACGGTGTCACCATCGCTCCCATGCCCCCGGCCCAGGCCCACAAGCGATTACTGGATGGGGACCAGGGCCCCAACACTGGAGGGATGGGAGCCTATTGTCCAGTCCCTCAGGTAGGGCCCTGCTCCTGCTCAGCCTGTGCTCCAGGGGTTTTCTTTAGGGCCCAATCTTACAATCTTATAGAATGTCCTGAGCTGGGGGGGACCCTCAAGGATCATCCAGTCCAAACCCTGGCCTTGCCCAGGACACCTCAACAATCCCCCCCTGTCCCTGAGAGCTTTGTCCAAATGCTCCTGGAGCTCTGGCAGCCTTGGGGCCGTGCCCACTGCCCTGGGGAGCCTGTTCCAGTTCTTGTTTCTATCCACATTTCTTCTGGGATTGATTACAGGGCTCAAACATTAATAATCACTCTTTAGGATTTAATTAATTTAGCCAGTGTTCTGTGGAATGGCCTCTCTTCTACCTCTTCCAGTATTCCCAGACTTGGTGTTTCTCTGCTCCCATTTGCATCACTTCAAAAATTCCTGCAAAATCCCTTGTGTGCCCAGGGTCTCTGTGAACATAACCTTGGGGTTCTTGTTGGTTCTTAAAGCTTTGCAGGCTTGCTGTAAATACGCTGCTCACACACATTATTAGTGTGGCTTTCTCCAAGTCTGCCTGTGTACAGCCCAGGTTGCCAGTCTCAGACCTTTTTAAGAACCAACCAAAAAACCTTGGGAGGCAGAGGATTGGTGTGTCCATCCTTCAGGCAGCAGCAGCCCAAGGGAAGGAGCTCACGGGTCAGGGTGGGACAGCAGCAAACAGGCCCTTCCTCACCCCAGTCCTTCCAGGTGCTATGAGCAAGTCCAGCCAGTGTCATCACCGTCCCAACCAGTTTGATGTTGGTTGTCAGGTTCCAGAAGTTCTTCTAGAGCAGATCAGGGGTGCAATCCTCCAGCACGTTGTTGATAGTATGAGACAAGAAGGAACAGCCTATGTGGGTAAGTAACCACTCAGCTGCAAACCAAGGCACAGTCCCATCCAGGTAAGTTCCGTTGTCAGAGGTTGCTTCTGAATTCCAAATAGTATTTGTTTAAAAACCAAACCAGCAGCAGTTCATTTTTCGTGCCCCACTCATTTGGTTTATAGCTCTTCCTTTGGAGAGAAGAACTTTGGTCGTTTCTCCATGAAACACACTAGATTTTACTGAATAGTTGTAATTAAAACATATTCATAGTTCAGGGCATAACCTATACTGAAGTTCAGTCATACTGTTCACTCCAGTGTACGTTTTCCTCACATCTTTATGTGAAGGTTGTTTTGGCAAAGGCAGGTGATGCCCACAAATGTCACTCAATGCCTTGCTCCTAATTCCTTATGATCTGCAGAAATTATTCCCACATTCCAAAGTAATGTGTTGCATTTAAAGGAGTCCTTGAAAACAATAAATATTTCAATTCCTTTGCTTGACTGTGTTCTCTCTGTTCAGGTGTGCTGCAAACAAGTTTAATGCTGACCAAAGAGGGGGTGAAGATTTTAAACTTTAAGTGTCAGTTTGGGGATCCCCAGTGCCAGGTAAGTGGAACGTACTGGATAATTAAAGGCTTCACGCTTTTATATCTGACTGCTGTAACATCTCTAGGGAAAGATCTGGATACAAACATCTTAGACAATGTGAGGTAACTTTAAACTTTGTCTGATCAGCTCCTGTGAATTGTTAGTTAAAGGCTTTAAGTTAAAGAACTGTTCCTCAGATTTTTGGTTTTCTGAGTAGAAGCAGAATGGGAGGGGCCTAAATTCATGTTCCTTCGACATAAGTTCACATCTCACGTGTCTAAACTTATGGTGCCAAAAAACGCTGCAAATTAAATGGTCACCCACAATTTCCCAGTCTGCTGGTTCGGCACATACAAATTTTATTCTATTGATTGAATTTCCCCTCAGTTGAACTTCAGCAAGTCAGCAAACTAAAACTTCTGTTACTGTGAAAATTTTCTGCAGGTAATTCTTCCTCTGCTTAAAAATGATTTTTATGAAGTGATTCAAGCAACGATTGATGGCAAACTCTGCAGCTTCATGCCAGCCTGGTCCGAGAGCAGCACGGCCGTGTGCGTGGTCATGGCCAGCGCGGGATATCCGGGGGACTGCGACAGAGGCATGGAGGTGACAGGTGACCGTGGGAAGGTGTTCATTGTTTGGGGTAAAAAGGTCACATTTGGGGGCGTGGGCGCTGGTTGTGAGGGCGAGAGGGCAGATTTTGGAAGCTGAGGCAGGTTTTGGGGTGAAAAGGCAGATTGGGGGGCGGGAATTTGGGGGTCAGAAGTGTGGATTTTGGGGGTCTGGGGCAGATTTTAGGGTGAAAAGGGCAGAACTGGGGGTGGGGGGAAATCCTGAAGTAAAAGAGGCAGATTTGGAGGTGAAAAAGGCAGATTTGGGGTGTGAAGGGTAATCCTGAGGTAAAAAACTGTGCAGATTTTAGAGCGTGGGTGCAGATTTTGGGGTGCAAAATGCTTATTGGGGGGGGTCTGAGGTAGATTTGGGGGTGAGAGAGGCAGATTTAGGGGTGTTAAGAGATGTTCACGAGGTAAAAAAATTCAGATTTGGGGGTGAAAAGGGGAGGTTTGAAGGGTGAGGAAATCCTGAGGTAAATGGAGCAGATTTGGGGGCAAAAAGGGCAAATTTGGGACGTGGGGGACATATCTGAGGTAAAAATACAGATTTTGGGGTGCTGAGGCAGATTTGGGGGTGAAAGGGGCAGATTT